CCCCCCCCAACTACGGCGCTGATGGCAGTGAGGAAATACTTGTATAAATATTACAGTTACTCGTTATGAAATCATAGGAAGAAATAACTTGCACTCAGTCTATGGGCCAGAACGAAAGAACGAAAGACGATATTGAAACCGCTAGCAGAGGTCGCATGTCGTACTACCGCATCAGAGGTAGTAAAATAGAAACTAACAAGAAACAGGACATTTTAGAACGATAAACGGATGAGAAGCAAATGTTCTCTCGACTTGCCACAACCCTGAAGAATAGACTTTGAAAATTTCCTCACTTCGCTCACCGCATGCTGCGACAGTTGGTAGCGTTGGAACGTCTTAGATGACGGGATTCACTTGTTCCCCTCAAAACAGTAACCAACCGTAATGTGCAGCGACGCGATTCATGGAGACAGATTATTGCCCGATATCGATCGCCAACTTCCAAGTATAAAAAGAGCTAACCGTAAACCCGCTTGTGCAAGGACAAATGAAAGAAACGGTGAAAACAGTCTGACCTTCCATGTCGCTAACAGATGAACGCAATTAGCCATGACTTACGAAAATAGGAAGGTTTGAAACTGCTGGGATGTCGGTCACCCTTAAACTTCCATGATGGTCACCATGAGTACTGTTCCTTTCATGGAGCAACTGGTACAGCGTTGATCTCCACTTGCATGCCAGCAACCAGCAATACCTCGTTTTAAAGGTATTTATTCAGCTACGTGTCAGGAATAACCGAGTAGGTACAGGACGTGCAGCCTGCTGTTTCCCACATAGTGGTATTCGTCAGTTAACCTCAGAAAGGCGAACAGCGATTGACCAGGTCGGAACTTAAGCGGACGACCTCTTGACTGTGAGTGCAACCCTCTACGGACTGAGCAACTCCGATTCGCAGCGCACGAAAGCTACAGACAAGGCAGTACACACTATTGCCACGTTGGCATCTCATCCACAAGGTAATGCAATGCACGACTGTCGGTTGTGTTAAACACGCTGAAACTGAATTCCCTGATGAAGAAAGCAGGGTTGGAGTTTTGTTTTTACGACTACCGGTCACCGTGCACAAACAGTTCATAAAACAAGAATTT